TCTAGATCTTTGAGCTTCGAGATTAGGTTGTTTCTTTGAGTTCTTTCTTGTTTTTTGATGTGAGCTTCTATTGCTATATATTTTCCTCTTATTACTGCTTTTGCTGCATCCCATACATTTAGGATATTGGTGTCCTCCTTGTCATTCAATTCAAAGAATTTTTTAATTTCTTCTTTGATCTCCTCGTTAGTCCAGTGGTCTTCCAGTAGTGTGGCTTTTAATCTCCATGAGGTAGGATAGTTCCTTGCCTTCTTTTTATGATTTATTTCTAGTTTGATGCCTTCGTGGTCAGAAAAGATGGTTGGTATGATTTCAATCTTGGTGTATCTGTTGATGTTTGTCTTGTGCCCCAGTATGTGATCGATCCTGGAGAATGATCCGTGTGCGCTTGAGAAAAATGTGTACTCCGTTTTTTTTTGGGTTTAGTGTTCTATAGATGTCTGTTAAGCCCAAATGCTCTAGGTCCTTATTTAGAGCTTTAGTTTCTTTACTTATTTTTTGTCTTGTTGATCTATCCATTGTTGATAGTGGTGTGTTGAAGTCTCCCACTACGTATGTGTTTTCTCTGATGTCTGTTTTCAGAGAGGACAACAGTTGTCTGATATATTTTGGTGCTCTTTCGTTTGGTGAGTATATGTTAATGAGTGTTATTTCTTCTTGAAGTATTGTCCCCTTAATCATAATGTAGTGACCATTGGGGTCTCTTTTTATTTTTTTGAGTTTGAAGTCTGTTTTTATATGATATAAGTATAGCTGTTCCTGCTTTCTTTTTTGGCCCATTTGCTTGTAGGATTGTTTTCCGTCCTTTGACTTTGAGCCTATTTTTATCTTTTGTAGCTAAATGTGTTTCCTGGAGACAGCAAAAGGTTGGGTTTTGTTTCTTAATCCAGGCTGCAACTCTGTGTCTTTTTATTGAAGAGTTTAGTCCATTTACATTTAGAGTTAATATTGATATGTTAGCATCTGTATTTGCCATTATGTTTGTCTTTCCTTTGATTTTATTTATTTATTCTTTTAATAACTTTTTTTTTTTTCTGGTCTTCTTTCGTTGTTATTCGTCCCTCTGAGGTTCTGGCTTTAGGATTCCTTGTAGTATTTTTTGGAGTGGGGGTTTAGTCGTAATGAAATTCCGGAGTTTCTCTTTGTCTGGGAAGGTCCATATTCTTTCTTCATGGAGGAAAGAGAGCTTTGCGGATAGAGTATTCTTGGTTGGCATCTGTTTTCTTGAAGTCTGTTGACTATGTCCCTCCACTCTCTCCTTGCCCGTAGTGTTTCTTCAGAGAAGTCTGATGTCAGCCTGATTGGTTTTCCTTTGAATGTTATCTGTGTCTTCCCTCTTGTCAGCTTCATTATTTTTTCCTTGTCTTGGATTCTTGGGAGCTTTACTATTATGTGTCTTGCTGTGTTTTTCCTTTCGTCGTGGAAGTTTGGTGTTCTTCTTGCTTCTTGTATATCAATTTTCAGCTCCTTCTTCGCATTTGGGAAGTTCTCTTCAATTATCTCCTGAATATTTTCTCTGTTCCTACATCTCTCTCCTCTCCTTCTGGAATTCCTATAACTCTTATATTTCCTTTCCTCATGGAGTCAGATAGTTCCCGAAGTCTTTCTTCATTCTTTTTTCTTCGTACTTCTCTTTCCTTTTCTGTTTTGGTTCTTTTTATTTCTGTGTCTTCAAGAGAACTTATTCGTTCTTCCATTTCATCTATTCTGCTTTCCTTGCTTTCCCGGAGTTCTTTAGTTCCTCCATTAATTCTTTGATCTCCTGCATTTCTTTTACTTCCCTCTTTAGGGACTCAATTTCATTCTTCTGACCATTGTTTTCCCTCTTTAGGGACTCAATTTCCTTTTTCTGATCTATCACTTTTTTAATCATGGCAATTTTAAATTCTCTTTCTGGAAGGCTCAGAAGTTCTTCCAAGTTGCTGTCGTTGCAATCTGTGGAGTGGTTTTCTTTTTGTGGTGTGCTTCTTTCCTGAGGAGTTGTTAGATTGCGTGTGGTTCTTCTACTCCCTACTGTCTGTTTTCTAATTTGTCGTATGCGTTGGGACACTGTGTTGCTCGGACTGACTGACATCTTGGGTGAACTTCTCCGCTCCCCTCTGGCTCTTCCAGGAGCCATCTCTGCCTTCTGGGGGAGCTTTCTGCTGGTTTTAGGCAGTTTTTACTGAAGAAATGTCCCTGTTCTCAAATAGCGAAGCGGGATGCAGTCCCTGCGCCTCCGGTTTCAGGCACACTCTTCTGCGCACCCGGTCTGCCCCGGACGTGGGTGCCTGCTCCCTCTGTGGGCTCAGACTGCTGGTCGGAAGGGGCCTGGAGTGGAATAACTTCCCGGCTGGCCACTGGGTCCTCCAGAAGCCTTCTGCCCTTTTCAAGCAGTCTTAAGAAATTTCCTGTTTTATGGGGTGTTAGTGACTTTTTTTTTCCTGGTCGCTAGGTGGCGCCAGAGATCTCTCCTATTGTCCTTGGGGGGCTGTTTTTCGCCCCCCCCCACCCCGTGGGACAGGGAACAGAGCGGGAATGGTAGGGTAAACCTCAACAGCTTTGGGGTGCTGTGTCTGCCTTGTGCCCCACCGTCGTGGAGAACCCACGCCCCAAATTTTCGTGCCCCGGGTCTCAGTTCAAAGCCCTCAGTTCCAGGACGCGGGCTGTAGCCCAGTTCAGTGGCTTGGGAATGGCGCCTTTTGCACCGCTCCCGTGCCTGGGCGCCTGGTTCCTGCTTACTCAGGGAGGGACCTTCACCTCAGTGAGGACCTCCGCGCGTCTCCCCGCAAGCCTAGGTCGTCTCCCCGCAAGCCTAGGTCGCAGGCGCAGGGACCTGGGCAGCTGCGATCCCGGTCTGCACTTGCTTTTCAAGCGCGCCGAGCGCGCCGCTTTCCACACAAGCTTACTGGCAGCCCGGGCTGTTTGTGCGTCTCCCGGGGTCTTTGTTCTTCTCTAATGGCGCCCGGAGCCGTTCGCTCACCGCTGCGGCGGATCCTGCAGGGTTCGCCTCAGCTCCCGTTCACGGGGTGTGGTGGCTGCAATAGTTCCTTTCCACTCACAGTCCCGCTTGCTGCGTCGTTTGTTCTTGTGGGCCGTTTTGGTTTGTTGTTTCCTCCTCTCTGCCGGTCGGAGAGTGCCGCCTCTGTGGGCGGGGGAGGGGAGCAGGGTTCTGCGCTTCCCTCCCTTCTGGTCCTCTTTTATGGCCACTTTCTTCTTCGGGTAGTTTGCTGGCGTCACCCGTTTATCTTCTGTGTCCCAGTTCTCACTGGGACCTGCCGCTTTTCCTCCCTATTCACTTTTTTTAATGGGAGATCTTACTCGCAGAGTCTCCTCGCCGCCATGTTGCTCCGCCCCCGGCTCTACTATCAGCATAATCATTTAAAATTTAGTATCAAATAATTTGAAGCATAAGAAAACCAGGAGAAATTGAATTAATGATTCTCAGTTTGGGTTGTGCATTAAAATTACCTGAAGAGTTTTTAAAACTATCAGTGCCAGAAAACTACCTCCAGAAATTTTGATGTAATTGATCTAGGGTCAACTCCGGAAATTAGTATTTTTTAAAATATTTTTATTTATGCATACAAGCACTGGGTTGTAGACCAAAGGTGCGGGAGGTGGGGCAGGGAAGGGGGCAGGGGGCCTGTGAGAGGATTCACCAGAGACAGAGTGGGAAGCAGAACAGGCAGATCTACTCGAACACACTGCTGCGGGCAAAACAGGAGAGGTCTGCTGCTCCATGTGGGTTAGCTCCCTGGCCAGGATAGAATTCAACTGGAACTCAAGTCATAGTGGCTGTCCATAGCTTGACAGCGCTGAGACCCTGCACCTCCAGGATCGCCCCTGGAAATTAGTATTTATGAAAAGCTCCCTATGTGATTCTAATGTGCAGCCAAGAGAGTGATCCATTGTGTTAATTGATGGACACTTTCAAAAAATTCCTTTGACTAAAAGGTGATCTGATTTAGTAGTTTTCCCTTTCCCTTCTCTTCCCTTCTTCTACCTGATTATATTAAAATTATTAGGTATTCAAAACCTTTTTATCAGATGTTATGTAAAAACTCAAACACCAAATTACTTCCCTGCAAAATAAGAGTTTTGCAGAGTGGTTAATTTTTGAGAGTCACTTAAAGATGGATTTTGTTTTCAGTGGCTAGAGGACTTTATTTGTAATGTGTTTTGCAGATAGGTGAAATATAATGAAAATAAATTGTCCTGCAGCACACCTGAAGGTGCCGGTATATAATATGTTTAATCAATGAATAAATAAATATGTCCTTCATCAATTTGTCCCACATAAGTATAGTTTTAGGCAGTGTATAGGTAGGGCCCAGGAAAGAAAACAGCAAAATACTGATATTTGGGAGCAGGAGCTTAGGTTGTGGTTATAGATAAAGGGACCATATCATAGGTGTCCTCTGCCTTTTCTTGGAGTCTTTTGCCTTGCAAACAGCCACATATGCTATTGAGAGTCCATGTCTAGCTGCTTTTTAGTGGTGCAAATAAAGAGATGCAGCAATGTTCCTATTTAGGTTAATTTTTATTTTTTTTAAAGATTTATTTATGCATATGAGAACTGGGGTACAGGGCAGAGGTGTGGGTGGTGAGAAGATTCACCAGAGACAGAGTGGGGAATAGAACAGTTAGACTGAGTGAAATACACTGCTGAGGGGAGCAGCGGGGGAGTAAGGAGAGGTCTGCTGCGCCATCTGGGTTGTTCCCTGACTGGCCTGGGGATTGAACTCTCGCTGCAGTGGCTGCAGATTAGATTGCCTCATAAGTTGTGTCTTACCCCTTGCGCCACCAGGGAGGCCCCTAAGTTAATTTTTAATCAAATCAATGGAGAGTTACATAATTGTAGACAAAAATGGTATTTATGGTGGTAATTTGAAAAATCACCTTTAATTAATGGTAACTGGTTTTGGTGGGGGGGGGGGCACTTACACCTATGTTCTCTCGCGACTCTGACAGCCTGACAGACTGAAGGACTATTTTCCCTTTTTTTCCCCCCTCCCCAGCATTTAAAGATGTCTCAGAGAAGCTCAAACACCTTGAGATGGAAAACAGTCCTTTGCCATCTCCTTCTCCTAACATTGATGTTAACATCAACAACCAGGTATTCAGATTTCTGCTTTGTATACCTGTCACCCATCTCCAATCCTCCTAGAAATCCTTTCTTTCCAAAGCTCATGTGTTTTCTTTCACTAGGAAGTCTTTGTGTACTGAAGTCCTATAAACCTGTTTTCTCATTTAAAATGATGAAGTTTGTGGATATATAGGGGGTGAGAAAAAAACTTGGGTAGCCACATTAAGAAATGAAATGTCATCTCACGGTTATTTTTTTTAAACATGTACTCAAGTGTTGTGACTGTCAAAGCTTTTACTTTGATTCAGCCCATCTTTTCTCTAATTCTGCTCAGTGGGTCTAGATTTAATTGGTGGATTTGGCAAAAACCTTTTGAAATCATAGAAAAATTTGTTTGAAAGGGAGCTGCTCTGTATTATAAACAAGAAGGAGGATAGAACTTAACTTCATCCTTCATACCTTTCACCACCCTGTCCCCTTGGAGGTTTTTAGTTGTGGATAGGGGGTATATACCAATTAAACTTTAGTTAATTGACTATAATTAAAACATTTTTTCTAATTTCTACATTAAGTAACTTATGGAACTAACTAAATTAAATTAAATAATTGTATGTACTCTAGATATCCCCACTTACAGAGACTAATGAATTTTAGAAATGGAGAGACCACTTTTTTTTTTTTTTTTTTTTTTGGTCCTATATAGACAGCAGATAAGGAGAGTCTATTGAATGAATTTGAGATTTTGTTTTAAAGAGGGAAGGGGAACAACTGATTTGCAGTATTCTTTCATTCTTGGACAACTAAATGGAATTTCTCCAGTGATCAGTATGGAGTAAAGGGTGATTTTTTTCTTTTTTGTATACTAATGGTTAAAACTGTCCTTTTAAATCTATCTTTTTTTTCTAATATGATTTTTTCTTAGAAATGTCTTTTACAGCCTGATTAAATTTCAGACTTTTTTTTTTCTTGGCCCATCAGTATTTTTTGCTATTACATTGGTGTGCTTGCTTTTACAGTGTCAGATTTATTTATTTGTTTGTTTGTTTGTTTATTTATGTCTCTGTGAGGTAGGGGATGCAGGGTAAGAGCTGCTGTAGATCACTATACAGGTGTCTGGTTTACCAGACAAGGTGGTGATCTGTATGGATGTAGTGGCATTTGAATTCTTTCAGAATGGGAAATACGATCTTGACTTAAATTCATCTAATGACCCTGCACAGCACATCATAGAGAAAGAGCTGAGATAGCTGTACAAAAACTTCATGAAATAATATCTTATTGTCTCCACTGAAGTTGCCTTTGACCAGGATGACTGGGCCACCTAAACCTCATTCCTCTCATAACCCGAGGCCAGGTGAGAAGCTGGAGGCCCCAGGTCTCCCCCGGAAAAATCCAAGTCTTCATGCTCTTCCCCTTGAAATAAACACTGGTGCCAACAACAACAAAATAACAGAATGTGGGGGAAGAACACATGGCTGGCAATTAATTTGATAAAAATTGAATGAAGGACTAGAATAAACCTCAATTAAGAATGAAACCTAGTGAATTTTGGTGGAATTGGAAACAGAGAGAACAGTGATTGTGCTTTATATTGCACAGGAGTTCATGGAAATCATTAAACTTACTTTTTTCCTTTCCTTGAAAAAGTCCCTGCATGTTTTGCAATAATATAATTGAGTCTCTGAAGCAAAGGATATATTATATTAGTCTTTTTTCTTTTTATTAATTATTTTTATCTTACATCATGTAACCCCTGTATTTCTCCCACCACCATAACACCTATGAACTATCGCTATATTCTCTTGTGGTCTTTCTGCCCCTGTTCGACACACCGCCCCCCCCCCCACCTTGCTGTTTGCCTCTAATGTATGCTAAGCTTGCTAGTTTTTTTCCTCCTGACTTACTTTGCTTAGGATAGTCCCCCAGCTCCATCCATGTTGCTGTAAATGGCATGAGTTTATCTTTTTTGATTGTTGAGTAATAATCCATTGTGTAAATATACCACATCTTTTTTATCTATTTGTCTCTTTTAGGGCATTTGGGCTGTTTCCATATCTTGACTGTTGTAAATAGTGCTGCAATAAATATAGGAGTTCAAGTTCCTTTTGAATTAGTGTTTTTGTGTCCTTTGGGTAGATTCCTAGGAGTGGAATCACTGGTAGATCCATTTTCAGTGTTCTGAAGAACCTCCACGCAGCTTCCCACAGTAGCTGGATCAGTTTACATTCCTGCCAGTAACATAGAGTTCCTTTATCTCTTTTTTTTAACCCAGCAGGAAAAACCTACCGTGAATTGCTTCTCCTTTCAGGGTTAATGTTTGTCTTTTCTCCCCAAAGCCAATGGGAGCTCAACGAAAGTATGAAAACTTATTTCTGAATTCCAGGAGGGCAGAAAGAATCAACTCTGCTGATTTCTTAGCAACTAGCTGATTTTGGATTGCCTTTGTCTTGGTGAGGGAGAAATGCTTGGAGCATGATCAAAGGATAGCCATAGTTTTTATAGTGTAAAGGAAATTTCTATAAACTAGTATTTTTGAAATGCAGGCCTTCACAAATTTTTTGTTTCAGGACATAGGATAATAAGGTGGCTTGTGATTGACATAAAAATTAGTCTTGAAGCCTTGAAAAAATGAGGAGTGTTGTTCAGGATAGGAAAGGGAGTAAGAGACTGGGTTAGGTCAAGGACAGTATAGCATCAAGGAACATTTTGAGACTCACATATCTAGGAACGTGAAGTCTTATTCAGTGCAGGCAGTAATAATTTAGTATTGTACTAATAAATAGGGGACCTCTGGCTACCTTAACTCTCCAACTAGACTACTATGTAAAAGTTGATTCAAAGGGAAAAAAGGTTGATTCGTGTTTTTATGTGACACATTTTTTCATCCAGTCTGATTATCCTGCCTCCGCCATCAGCAGTTGATGTTTGCCTAGGGAATTCAAGTTAATATTATCTTTTCTAAATATATTTTTCTAAAGCAAAACATTAGTTGGGTGATTAGTTCTAAGAATTGTGTAACTGAGAATCTCTGAGCCAGTAACAGAATGTTGCAGCTCAGACTAGCAATACTGACAGCAGAGCTATCTCTTACTATATCAGACTAGGCATTATTCAGGTTTGATACAGTTACTTGAGATCCTGATATACTGTTGATTTAATTCTAATTCTACGAACATGTTAACTGCTTACTTTTTCTAAGAAATAGTAAGTGTTGTGTGGAATTTTCAAGAAGAATGACAAAACCTTGACCCTCAGGAATTTCAGACCTGTTCCACCAAGTCCCATTGGAGTATTGCAAATGACTTTCTCCAATGACTACTTCCTCTCCTCCTCCCTTCCCTTCCTTTCCCTGCTCCTTCTCAACGTCTTCCTTCTCTACTCGTCCCTCCCTTTCTCCCTCCATCCCTTCCTCCTGTGCTAATGGAATTTGCAGATGACAGTAACTATAGTAGTTTTTGAAAGATAAAAATCAGGATCCATGAAGACTTTGATGGCCTGGAATGATTGACTGGATTTAAGAATATACATTGTAACAATTCTGACAGAATCCTGTGTTAGGGTAAGGAGATAGAGTATAACAGAAGCATGTGAAAAAAGATGTTTTAAGACTATGTAAATGCAATGTGAATCTTATCTAAATGCAGTATGAAATGTGACTTCTCAAAGATCTGTGTTGTGTTAACTGACAGGGTTTTAGAAGGGAAGTTTAAACATAATATGTTCATTTCTGTATATCACTCTTTAAAAATGATTTAGGAAAACTGTGATTAGTTACTCTTTAGAGAAGAGTAAGGACAATATGGTAAAAAGTCTTGAAACTAAGTTGTAGCTGAGGATCAGTATTCTCAAGAGAGAACATTTAGATATGTTAAGAGCTGCTACATGGGGCCTCCCCTGGTGGCTCAGCGGTTGAGCGCTGGGCTGCGAAGCTGCCTGCAGCCTCTGCAGCGCCAGTTTGATCCCTGGCCGCCGGCGAGGGTCCTACATGTAGACCTCTCCTGCTGCGCCCACTACTCCCCTCAGCAGTGTCTTCGCTCTGTCTGCCTATTCTGTTCCTCGCTCTGGCTATAGTGAATTCTCTCACCCTCCCGCACTTCTGACTGTACCCAGTGCTGGTATAAATAAATAAATAAAATCTTAAAAAAAAAAAAAGCTGCTACATAAAAGAGGAATTAATATAACTTGTTTTTTAATAACTTCAGAGAAGAGTTAAAGTCAGTGATATTATTAGATGTATGTAGATTTAACTTCAATATAAGAAGCATTTTTGAACAGTTATCTGCAAATATAATGCACTGTGGAGGAAATAAGTTCTTCAGTGTCATTGTTGAAATTTTTCTTTCTCCTTGGTGCCTCCTTTTTTTTTTTGAAAACTTAGTCACAGTTCCTATGCTTGACTTTGTTTTTGAAATTATTTAAAACTTATTTTATGTCAAGAGGTATAGATTTTCCAGTTACCTTCCGTTCTTAGTTATACAGAACAATTCCAAGATTTTCATTCTCCAAATTTCATTTTAGGAATCACTTTTATTTCTTATTTTTTGATTAGAAATCAAGTAAAAATTTAAATTGCATTTATTAGTAAGGGCATGGGCCAGAATAAAGGCATGAATGACTGTTAGCAACTTTTTAGGGTAAATTATTAGAAGAAGGGCAAGTTTACTTCTTGGTCAGAAGTTGGCAGACTACTTCAGTAGAGTCAGTAGTATATATTTTAGTCTTTGCCAATTATACATTCTCTGTCACAACTCCTCAACACTGCTATTACAGCATGAAAGCATAAAATATAGGAATGAGTATGACTGTATCCCAATAAACTTTATTTACAAAAGCAACTGGTGGGTCAAATTTGGCATGTCAGGTTATCAGTCTAAATAAAGAGGTAAACTGATAAGCTCAAATGACCAGAATTGAGTATATTTGGGAAAGCAGAGGAATCACAGCTTAGAAAATGCATGCTATAGCAAGCTGCAGGTGAGTCTGTTGAGAATTTGGGGTGTGCTGTGAAGAAAATTCAGCTACAATTCATG